CCTCCCCAAGCAAAGGAAGGACATCTTGAACATCGGAGCCTAAAAAGAAGGCCTCTGCAGCCTCATAGCCTGTTTCCGCTGCAGGCCTATTCTGGGTTTATATTATTACCTCCTGCTCCTCAGGGCCTGGAAAAGCAGAGAGGTGTGAAGATAAAAGTTGTGAGGCGGCCATAACTAATTAAGGGGAATTGAGGGGAAACTAGCACCTTCAACTGGCCTTGTTTTGCTTTTTAGCTGGGGAAAAAAACCTAACAATTTGTGATCTGAGCAGGGAAACAAATGAGATCAGGGAGACCGAAGGACAATCATGATAATGAAATCATCCGCGGGCCTTGCTACCTCAGTGAGACTGGGGGAGGGGGTGCAAGAAGGACAGTCAGGAAGGCCTGGGATCCCGGCTGGGCCATCTCCCCAATCCTTCTCTCCAGGACTGGGCGCCGCAGAAGAGATGCGGAGCCCGGTGAGTGGGCGTCCAGCTTTCTGCGCTAGCGTGTTCTCCTTCACTTTCTCTGAGCCCCTACTTCTTAGCACACTTCCTAGCACACAGTAAACACTTAATAAATGCTGGTCAAATGACTGACGGCGCAAATCCGCTGCCGAGTTAGGACGGAGAACTCTCACATCCTGTGGGCAAGCCAAGCTCTGCAACAAGGACTGATCAGAGAAGGTCATGGAGGGATTTCTGCGTGCTCATTTTAAAAGAAACTACAGAAAGACAACTGAATGAAAAGCGCGCCCCTCTAAGTCTGGTCATGGGAAAAGGAAGACATGAGTGGGAAGGCTGCGGAGCAAGGTGAAGTTGCTTCCCTTTGCACCACGTGGGAGAATGCCAGCGGTCTATCTCAGTCCTTTTTGCTCAGATCCTAATCAGAAACTGGGTGCAAAAATGGCGACCCCACCTCAGCCCTGCAGCCTCCTTCCAAGCCCATTGATGAGACAAACAGCAAACTCTAAGCACCAACTGCTGGACTGATGAGGATTCAAGTTGTGAACCAGTCGGGAAGGAGGCATGCGGAGCTAAGTCGGGCAATCGGGCCAGAGAGCCTCACAAAATGCCAAGAAACGTCTTTGGATGGATGATCCCCCAAACAGACCCGGCACTGAGGGGCCCTTTCTGCAGCCTCTTGCACAGACAGACACGTGGGCTTTGTTTCTAGGAAGAGGAAGCTCACTCCTGCACGAGGTGGTAGTTAACTCAGTTCTTTCCTAATCAGCCAGAACCTGCCTCCCTGCTCCTTGGAGCCGCTCAACGTCCTGAGCGCTGGATTGATTTCCTTCTTTCTCAGGGAGTTGCCCAAATGGTCAAAGATAGCACCGCCCATAAGCTTTTTCTTCTCTGAGTTAAGCACCCTGATTGCCTTCCAGCATTCTTTGGACAAGACGGTTTGCTGACTCCAGACCAGCTTGGACCTGTTCTGATGAATCCACGTCATCCCCATAAGGGGGGGCCCGTTCTTGAGCCTTGTTCCCTTTTAAAAGGGCCAGGTGCATGACCCTTTGCCTCAAACTAATTTAACTCAATCCAGCAAGCCTTTGTTAAGTATTTACTACATACCACAACCTTTAATAGACTCTTGATCTACAAAGATGAAATGGTCGCAGTCCTCAAGAAGCCTCTATTCTCTGGGGACGATTAAATTTGGAATCAACTGATCACTCCAGTTTTGCCTGACTTTAAGCATTCCCAAGCTAAGTTTCCACACCTTGTACAATTGATTTTTAAAATAGTTTCATTTTTTTTTGTTTTCACTTTACCTAGATTTACCCCTGTATCCCTCCCAACCTCCCAGAAAGCCATCCATTATATCAAAGAGGTTTTTTTTTTTTTAAGAAGAGGAGGAAAAACCCCCAGCAAAACCAACCAACATTGGAAAGATCAGATATTCCACACCCCCTTCCATCGTCCTGGATCCCAGTGTCTGTAAGGAGAGGTGGGGGAGGGGCATCTTCTCATCTCTTCTGAGGAGCCACCCGTGGTCATTCAGACTTCACAACATTCACTTTTGACTGTTGCTCTTTCCATTTCCATCACTGGGGTGACTACGTATGGTGTTTTCCTGGCTCTGCTGACTTCCTCCTGCATCAGTGCACATAAGTGTCTCCATGTCTCTCTGTAGCCATCATCTACCCTAGTTGGTCTACCATATTCCCGATCGATGGGCATTCCCTTTGTTTCCACTTCTTTGCTCCCACAAACGGTGCTGCTGAAAATATTTGGGTCTAAGAGCTAACATTAATAATAGCTAACATTTATATAGGCCCACTATGCTAAGCACTTTACAACTATCATCTCATTTGATCCTTACAACATCCCTGGGGAGTAGGAGCTACTACTATCCCCATTTTACAAATAAGAAAACTGACAGAAACAGGGTCAGTAAGTGTCTGAGGCTGGATTTGAATTCAGGTCTTCCTGACTCCAGGCCCAATGCTCTATCCACTGCAGCACTGGCTGCCTCTATTTCAAGCCTCTTTCTTGTCACTGACCTCCTTGGGGATCATGGTGGAATCTCTAGGTCAATGAATGACTGATTTTAAAAACCAGTGCCATCTCATCTCTACGGTTTGACAATCTCTTCTGGAATGTTTGTTGGGGAGTAAGAAGAATTGTGCCGGTCTATAATTTCTGGAATCTACCTTTTTATTTTTTGAAAATCCAAGTATTTATTCATTTATCCACCTAGAATCTTTCCTATTTTCTGTTTCTAAAAGACTATGAACAACAGTCCTGAGATTATACCTGCAAGTTGGTTCAGCACAATGGGATGTCCCAATCTAAAACCTGGAGAATCTACTCTATATGTCTCTACTGAGCCCCTGTTGGGTTCCAGGTCATGTGTTGGCTCCAAAGGTAACTATGGAATGGTTCCTACCCTCAGGGAGATTACATTTTACCGCAGGGAGGAGATCCTAGATGAGTTTGAACTTCTTAGTAACTGCTGGATGCTTACTCATTCGCCTATTTAGGCCTATGTTTGGATACAAAGAAAGACAAAAGAGAGTCCTTGTGCCCAAGGAGCCCACAGTCTAGTGGACCGAATTCGCCATCCTTTCTTAGAGTGATTCCATTTATTTCCTAATTCTTTTCTGGGTCTCTACTTAACCAGGAAGGTTTTCTCTCCTTCTTGACTCACAAAGATCAACATAAATTTCACTCATCAGAACTCGAATACACATTTTCCATTTGCAAGCCCACTTTGTCTTTAGCTCCATAGTTCTCCAAAGTCTACAACATGCTAACACTTCAGAACATGGACCCTTTGGAAAAGAAAACTGATGACTTAAAGGGAGGAAACGGTTTTCCTTCAGGCCACCTATCTCTCCATTCTGAAACAAATGCCCTCAATTCTCTATTTCTTCCAAAGCATGAATTTTTGGGGAAAAAATTATGCACAAAAGTGCATTTCTTGCCTCTTTCAACAACCAAATTGTTCACATTAGAAAGGAGACAGTAACTTAAATATATATACATATATATATAATGCATATATATGTATATGTATAATATGCATTTACAGACACACAGAGAGAGAATCTTTCATAAAAATAAAATTGAGTTTCATGGATGAGAAGCCTTTCAAAAATACTGGAAATCTTATTTTAACAAAGTTAGCACAATTTTGCCAAAAACTTTGACATTCTGGATGTTAGTTATTTCTCAGTAAAGATAATATATTTGCACAATATTAATCATTCAAAGACACGGGATTAAATGATTAACCACAGGAATGAAATGGTATACCCTTCACTCAAATATAGAAAGTACAGTACAAATGAAGAAAATTATTTTTCTCTCAGTCATGAAAAATTAATTCACTTAGTTATTATGCAATCAAATCCTAGACCCAAATGTCTTAGACCCAGAGATGGAAATAAGGATTGCAGTTTCAGGCTACCACATTTGGTCTGTTTTAATCCCCTGTATTTTGTTTTTCCTCACTCCAGCTTTGTTTGAAAATGCTTGTAATTCATTAAACATGCTGCCAAATAAAATTCCATCTGGCTTTTTTTTCCTCTAAAATTAAAGACATGCCAGTAGCCAAGCACAGGAAAATAAAGCAGGGAACGCCCGCAAAGGAGGAAACACATTTGCTGGTCACCAGGGCTTCAGTATTAAGCTTCAAAAAGGAAATATTATAAACAGTGAGCAATAAAGATTTTTAAAAGGATGAAAATACCTTAACTGTGTCCTTTTAAATAAGGGTGAGCTTAGCGGTTAGGACCCTTGAATTCAACTGCTCTTGTTCAGTTTACCGCTAGCCACTGACATTCTAAAAAACAGTAACAAAGAGCTTTAAAAGCAAGCAGCTTTGAGAAGGGTGAAGCAAGAGCGCTGTGTGGCCTAGCCAAGGCTGATGGACGTCTTCTCCCCCAAGCCTGGCGCTATGCTTTTACTGCAGAAGAGGAGAATGCCACCCACGGGCTCATGCACGGCCAAGATCACACCCTGGCCAGGGGGCAGTGGGGAAACCCAAGGGCGTTGGTGTCCAGCTATGTCTGGGAGCTGGAGGACGGCATGAATTTCAGAGAGCTGCTGGGAGAGACGCTTTCATAATAAAGACCAAGCTCCAACTTCAGGACAAATAGAGAGCCTGATACGATAAGGAGCAACAGAGAAATTGGAATTTACCAGATCTGGTAGAATGCTTCTAGAGGAGAAGAAGCAAGCAAAAGCAACAGAGGGCCTTCACAGGGCCCGTGGACGTAGTCCAGCTTCTCTCCAAAATCAGCTGCATTCCCTGCTCTCTCCCTAGGGGTCACCCTCATACAACTTCTCATGGGGAAACCAGCAAGCTGGGAGAACTGCATTCCCTGCTACCCCCAGGGGTCGCTCTCACACAGCCTCCAATGAAAGGACCAGCTTTCTGTAAGCTGCATTCCCTGCTCCCTCCCTGCATTCCCTGCTCCCTCCCTAGGGGTCGCTCTCACACAGCTCCTAATGGAAGCTCAAAGACGTCGATCCCAGGCGAAGCATTGACGTCTCTCTGTTGGATACTTGCCGCTAAGTAAAGGTCGGTTGAGCGTATACAGAGGTGGAAGCTCTTCTATGTCTGAGATCCGCTGGTACACTGCTCTGGAAAGGTGGTCCCCGTGGTATAAACTCCCCAAGATGATGCTAGAGAAGTAAATGGGCTCCACAAAGAGGCTCAGCAAGGATCCCTGAATGCCCAACACGTTCCACCTACAGGGCAGAAGAAGAGAAACACCTTCCTCTTAATGCGCCTCCAGACGTCCCGGGGAAAGCAGCCACCCCTAGAACTTCTCTCCTGCGACTGCACCCACCTCCCCAAAGGGCGCGCCTGAAAGGGAAATTCCGAAAAGAGAACCAAAGTTGCCTGACATTGCCCAGACTGGCCGCAAGCCCTGGGCTCCTTGGGCGGTGGAGCGACAGAGACACGACCTGCCATAAGGCCGTACTGGAGCTTGTGCCATTTCAAACTTCCCTCCTCCAAAAAGGCCTTCTCAGAAGAGTGTGAGCCCCATGAAACCGCATGCACGACACGCCGCCCCTCATCCACTCCCATCATCTGCCCCTAGGCTCCAGGCTGGACCACTCCTCGGTCCCAAGAGAAGCTGGTGATTGACCTCAACCCAAGAACATCCCTCGGTCTCAGGGCCCGTTCTGCATCAGAGGACCAGGACGACAGCTCTCAGAAGCAAGAGAACCAACAAGTATTTTTCCATCAAGAGCCATGAAAAGACAAGAATGGAAGAAAGTCTTGCCCAGAAGGATTCAGGCACACTAGCATGGCCATCTGGGCAAACTTTTATGGGGCCCCAAATCTAACTGCAGCTGATATTTATAGATATTTCTGTACAGAAGAAGCAATGGCTATTTGATGTTGCTGGGCTGGTCATTTAAGGCAGCCAGGAGGCTGTCTGGCATCCTCGCCACCTAAAATATAAAAGAACCAGCTCTGGGCTTGGTGTTAGAGGTTTTAACACAGTTCCAACTGCCCTGTGGGCACACATGCTTGACCTGACATTACCACCTGCCGTGGGAAATGCAGACACAGAGAGGAAAATAAAACTCAGATTTTATTTGCAGACTTATCCTTTTTAATCTTACTAGAAGTAAAGCTGTATTTTATTGCATTTTGTGGTTCCTGTCTGCATTCCAACCTTGAGCTTGAATCACTGAATTGGCCTGAGGTAGGCCCGGCCCAGAGTAACTGGCATGGTTGACAGGGGTTGGTTAGAATGACACTTCATGGTTAAGTTCATTGTTGAAGTGGGGGAAGGTTAATGTAAAAGAAATTGAGCCTCTAGTGATTGTGCCTAGGCTAGATATGGGACCCTCATGCCCTGGGGCTATGACCCTCTTAGGGGTGTGTGGGCAGTGGGGTAAGGAGAGAGCTCCCACTAACCCCCAGGTCTACTCCAATGCATGCTCAAGAAGCTTGACAGGGAAAGTAAAAACCTAGCAAAATTATGCATCCCTTGGCTCTTTTTGAGATTTAGAAAAGCTGGATTAGTCACAAGGAAAATGAAGATAAACTGTCTTTGTGCATTTGGCAGTTAGAGGCAAAGGGTAATGAGCTTTTGCTCTTTGAAGGAAAAGAAGGGGCTTATGGATCTGGTTACAGCCCAGACGAAAAGGGCAGTGCTGCTAACGGGGGTGAGGGCTGCTAGGCTACAAATGGAAAGCATGATCTGCTGGAGAATGTGTTAAACCCTGCAGAGATTAGAGCTATAAGAGAAGACAGCAGTAGAAGTGCCCATGGGCACTGCAGATCCATACCAATGGGAAGAGAATCTTGGGTCAATCCCATCACTTCTCTCAGCACACGCCATCCTCCATAAAAGTCAGATAGCCCACTGGCTTTTACCACTAAGGAGCTTGGAAGGTTACAGGAAAAGTTTAAAAAGCACATTAAAGAATCATCAAAATGATAACTATCAAGAGTGTAGTCTAATGAGGTCAACTCAAAAGTTTTTCATAGTTCCATAGAACTCCAGACTTCTCATGGATTTGCTTTTGGAAAGTTAACTAAGCCAGCAGGAAAACCAAACGGGGACTCCTTTTTCAGGAGGCTAAAAAGGGTCCACAATTAATCTTCCAATGGGGGATCGTGAAGGAGGGTTGATATTTTTAAAGCAATGTTTCTGGCGGACTGCATTTATGCCCCTTAGTCTCTACCCATCATTTCCTAAAATGAGCCTGATTCAGGAGCATTTAAATTTTTGCCTTTTGGGTGGAACCTCACCTGAATGGTATCAGGTTTTAATTAGAGTTCTTCACCATCAGACCTCTACACCAGGTTGGGAAGATCAACTGGTGAGATTTGAATAGGAGACCAATTTGTGTCACTGGGGTGGGGGGGGTGGCTCACCAAGGGGGTCCACACAAACAGGCAGATGCCCACTGCCATATTAGGGGGGTGGACAAGGTTGAGATTCTTTCCCGTAAGGAGCTTTGGGTGTGGCTTTTGAAACATGGACAAGAAGATGATTGCTAACTCTTTCAGGCTTATGAAGGTGTTAGCAAAATTGTTCTGGGACATGTGGCCTGGGGCAGGAAAGGTCTTCCTGCCCTACCCACATTTAGGGCATTTTGGTCATTGCCTTTCCTGGCTAATTGTTCAAAGCCCCCCAGATCTTTGTATCTATATATGAGAGGTGGTTAAGGGCAGTTCTCCTGGAGTGAAGGTTGAACATCCTCTAAGACTCAGGCTGTCCTAACTGTAGGATCACAGTTGTATCAGAAGCCATACTCCCAAGTCATTGTGGCACCAATATATGAAGGACTGCTAGATACCTGTAAGGGTCAGCCACATGGATCAGTGGGTAGAGTGCTGGGCCTGGAGTCAGAAACACCTGACTTCAAATCCAGCCTCAGACAGTTACTAGCTTTGTGAACATGAGCAGGCTGCTTCCCCCTGTTTGCCTTAATCCACTGGAGAAGGAAATGGTGAAGCGCTCCAGAATCTTTACCAAGAAAATCTCATGAACAGTATTGAAGTGTGATGGTCCACAGGGCCACAAAGAGGTGGGCATGACTGAGCTACTGTAAGACATTTGCAGCCCAGTGTCCATAGGAGTTTTGGCAGGAAAGCCACTGAGAGAATAAGTATCCTTTGTCAAGTGGCAGTGGCTAGAAAGTCCCCTCTATGGGTCTCACATGTGGATGTTAATTGGAGGACTGTGTCATAGGCATCTTGTGAGCATCTCTATGGGCACTTATCACAGCCAGTTATTTCTGGCAGAGCCAAATGGAAGCCACTAGCATTGCCAGAAATACCCCCCCACACCCACCCATGCACACACACACACACACACACACACACACACCTGCACACTAAGACCTAGCTCTTGTGAAGTATCTTTTTGCCTAGTTTACTAATGGTGCTGCCTGTTATGAGGAAAGTATACACAATCAGACCTAAATGGCTATTAAATTCAATAATGTGTAACACCAGGTGTTGGGAGACCTATTAATTCCTCCCAGGGGGCCAAATGGCATGGTTGGCATGTGTGAATGCCTTGAGAGATGGGGCAGACAAGCTTTTTATTTCTATTGATTCCTGAGTAGTGGCCACGGAAATTTCATGGTTGAGTAGTTTGGGGACTGAAAAGAACAAGACTAGGTAATTAAAGGTTCTCTCCTTGGGGTCAGAACCAATGGAGGCATGTTGCCAAAGTCTCCCATCGTGTTTGTAGGGCATGTGAGAGTCCACATCATATGCCTTCTGCTGAACTGAACAATCAGGCTGATGCCCTTATAAAATGGTAGAAACTGGGGACTGGGTCCATCATCAATGGGGACACGGGGGCTATGATGCCCTGGTGTGGCAAGCACAGGCCCCTATGACCTTCTTCACTTGGAACAATGTGGCTACTTCTGTTCAACAATGGTCTTTGTTCCGGTGGAGAACCTGCCTTTGAAGAATCAGCGTGGCATGATCCCACCAAGTAACTCTCAATCTGCTCCAGACTGGCAGGTTGGTTAGACTAGCCCTCTTCCTCCATTGAAACGAATAATTGTGCACACACTGCAGTTGAGAATTATCCAGGATAGACAATTGCAATGCCAGCTAAATTTGCTACAATAGCAAACACAATAAACACTCTTACAAAACACATCCATCTTCCTCATGGGCTCCTGGTGCCATTGACTCGAATCAGTGCTTCCTTTTTACCACTAAGAAAGTCCGAGACTAGTCCCATCAAAATCTTATTCGCTGGGTTTTCCATCTTTGTCATTATTCCTGGCAACCAAGAAAAACTCTGCCTTCTCTACCTCCTGCCTCCACTGCTGCCACCTTCCCACCCCCCCCCCCCAAATGAAATAGAAAGAAAAATGAAACCTATCGCAAATATTTATAGTTAGGTAAAACAAATTCCTGCATTAGCCCTGTTCAAAGAAAATGTGTCTCAATCTGTACTTGTGAGTCCTTTGCCCCTGTCAGGGGGATGGCATGTTTCATCACGAATCCTCTGGAATTGTGATTAGTAACTATGCTGAACTGTTCCTAAGTCCTTCAAAGTCGTTTGTCTTCTAAAATTCTGTTGTCATTGTACGAATTGTTCTGGTTCTGATCATTTCCCTCTGCATTAGCTCATATAATCCTTCCCAGGCTTCTCTGAAACTGTCCCCTTAATCATTTCTTGTGGCACAATAGCATTCCATCACATTCATATGTCATGACTTGCTCAGTCATTCCTCACCTGATGGCACCTCCTCAATCTCCAACTCTTCTCAACTGCAAGAAGAGCTGTCATAAATATTTCTGCGCGTCCTTAGACATTGTTTTACTTAAGACTTTTCTCTACCTGAATTTCCCCTTTGCCTTATTTGTTCCTTTCTCCTTTTTTCTTCCAGTTTCTCTTTTGAGTGAAATGTATTTCTGCATCCAGCTCTAGAGAGTGAGGTTCAAGTGTGACACTCCCCATACTTTTTCTTCCTTGTTTGTGCAGATTGCTTGCACACCTTGATTATGTAAGGTAATTTTCCCACTCTTCCTCTCTCTCTTTTTCTCTTAGTGTATTCCTCTTTCCCTACCCTTCCATTCTTCTTTTAAGATCAAGGCATAGCAGAACCATTCCCAGGTTCTCTGTCTAATTAGACTCCCTCTTGACCCTTGGTGATGACAGAGTTCTCAGAGAACACATGCATTATCCTTCCTTATTAGAATGTAAGCAGTTTATCCTTGTTTATTCCCTTATTCATCTATGTTCCTT